GCCTTTCAGCCCCTTTTGTCTTAGTATGCTACCAGTTACTACTTGTCAAAATTGTCTGCAGGTGTTCAGAGAGCAACATCCCGTGTGTGCGTGCATGTTTGTGGCTGTACCTCCAGGATGACATCAGTCCTGGACAGGCAGCGTCCCCTGCAGAAGCTGACCTCCACATTGTCAAGTCGACAGTCTCCCTTGGTGATGTTGCGGACCTGCACATAGCGATGACACTCTTGCACAGGCTCACCTTGTGCAAACGCAGAGAGGAAAAGAGATACACTTAGGACAGAGCAAAGGCATCTAAGCATATAGCATATAATAAAGGAGAAGCACTACTTTATAGACAATATTGTCTTTGCATTTGCATGAAATAACTGCAAAAAATGACAAAAAGGAGGAGACAGAGCAGAAAGCTCATTGTAGAAGGCAGGGTGACATTGCCGTGAAATTTCCTCCACTGGGACAGAGATTAAAGCCCCAGTGTAGGTTAAGTAATGTAATCTCCCACTAATTGGGGGCTGAGGCACTTCCCTTGTAGCCTCCTCTAAACTGAACTGAAGAACATTCAAATCCATTTAAGTGGTCTGGAAGCCATGATATTGGAACGAATGACCCACAGTGACTTGCTCGGGAATAGATTGTTTTGCAAAAAGCAGCGTTTTAATTGCTCCTTTTGTTTTGCATTATCATACGTGGGAAAGCGTTACTCTGTGGATCCGCTGATAGTTTTAAATGACTAATATTATGAATCTGATGGTCAGAAGTTTGGGAGTAAGGCCCAAGAATGTTGACTGATGGTTTTTGGGATGCGTTTTTGTGCCATGTGTATGCAGTACCAACCTGGAAACTGCTTTCTACACACGGGGCAGCAGCTGCCTGGTTCTTCCACCTTCACCTCCCCCTGAGAGAATCATGCAAACAGAATCATGCAACATTTATGGACTTTTCATGAAAAGTGTGAGTACACATATGCATGTGCATATCCACAAAAACATTAGCATCAGCTCCTGGAGCATGAAGCCCGTATGAAAGTGAAGGGTGACTCTTAATTTACATGTTCTGGTATCTTCAAATTCATAATGCTTTCATAATAGCTGTCTAATAACCGTTTAAGGTTAAGTTAAGGGCAGGCCCAGCTTAATTGAATTATGTGAGAAACAACTAATTCAAAGTCTGAGTCTGAGGTAATGTAACTCCTGCAAACA